AATTCAATGTAAATAGGGATAGATAATTAAGCAAAACACAAAAGAATTTCCACTCAAAGCAATACCAGAAATCTCCAGTTAACTTAGGAAGAAACGAAACGAATTTAAACATTTCTCATTTTTAAGTATATTTCAACACGTGCGAAAATGCACTCACCCCGGATGGGCTTGAACCGCCAACCTTTCAGTTAATAGCTGAATGCGCTAGCCGATTGCTCTAGCACAAGAAACCAAACAAATTACTGAATAACATACTAAATCTAAAAATTACCTTTCATTTTACCTTTAAAAGAATTCAATGTTAATGGGTACAGAAGATTAAGGAATCAGTATACGTTCGAAGAATATTTTTTGAAAAATTGTAATATTTGCTATTAAAATATTTTTTACCGATGAAATATATCTTAAAATTATGAAAAATATATTTAATATATTATTTGTTCACGAAAAAAAAAATTAGGGAGAAAAACATAGTTTAAATAATAATGGAAGTGATTATTATAATAACGCACATGACGCAAATGTAAACAAAAATGGAGCTAGTTTGATATCACGTGGCAAGCGCCAAGTTGTTGTTTATGTTCGCCAAGATGGGTGATAATATTACATAATGGTTACCTTGATATTTTGACCGTCTAGTGATGTGGTTTCCATGGGGATAAAATATATTAGAAATAACTTTTATTGTTTTTTTCCCCTGCTGTAACCCTATTAATTTCCGACTATTTTAATTCGATGTCTGTAAAAATTTAACCTCTTTCAGTAATTGTTCTATTATTTCCATATTCTGTTTTATTTTAAGCTATTTTCGAATATGGATAATTCTAATATGTGTGAGCAATAGGAATTTTTTTTTTTTTAAAAAAATGCAATGTTGTATTTTTAACTATCGCTATAAATCGTTTATTTTCGCTTTATTTTTAGTTTTAAAAATGCTTTTTTGAAAATTCCTTATTCGATGAAAGTTGTTGAAGGAACTTGCAGTTTTTAGAATACTGTAAATTTTCAGTACTTTGTAATTGATATTCATTATTAATTTTAATATATACATGTAATTGTTTTATTAATGTAATATAAAATGCAATTATTACTATTAGGAATAATCATGTAATATTCGTTATTTATAATTGTTTTTATATTTATCTATAAATATCATTACAAAAATTATATTATTTATTTATTTATATATATTATGTAATACGAGTATTTTTGAGCATTATTTTTATTTTATTACAATACGATGATTATTTTCTTTTATAATTACTATTGGGTTGTTCGGAAAGTAATTTCATTTTTTCCCGACAGAGGATTTAATTGTATTTTTTTGCACCCAACTTCACATTTAAGCCGTATAATTTTTATATGCTTTGAGAGCTTATATAGGAAGGCTTGTGTATGAAAAATTCCAATTAATTCTATGCAGTAGTTTTGGGTTGGTGCCCTTTTAAATATGGAGAGCGATAAGCAGCCTTTTCGACAAATATTACTGTTTTACTACTGAAAGGGTAAAAATGCTGTTCAAGCCAGAAAGAAATTGACCGATGTGTATGGAGAAGGTGTGTTGACAGTACGGCAGTACCAGAACTGGTTCGCTAAATTTCGATCCGGCAATTTTGATGTCGAAGATGCACCACGTTCGGGAAGGCCGGTTGAAGCTGATAAAGACGCGATAAAGGCATTAGTTGATGTGAACCGGCGAATAACCACACGTGAGATCGGATTGAGGTTAAATTTATCAAATTCAACAGTTTATGACCACTTGAAAGGCCTGGGATTATCCTCGAAGCTCGATGTATGGGTTCCCCATATTCTCACAGAGAGAAATCTGTGTCGCCGCATTGACGTCTGCAATTCGCTTCTCAAACGTCATGAAAATGATCCGTTTTTGAAGCGCATCATCACTGGGGACGAAAAAGGTCATGGAGCAAAAAAGATGAACCGGCTCAAACAATTTCCAAAGCCGATATTCACCAAAAAAGCTGATGCTGTCTGTTTGGTGGGATTTTAAAGGAAACGTTTTTTGTTTTTGAGCTTTTACCGGATAACACAACGATTAATTCGGAAATCTACTGTCATTAGCTGGACAAACTGAATGATGCATTTCAACAGAAAAGGTCATAACTAATCAACAGGAAAGGTGTCGTGTTTCACCAAGACAATGCGAGACCTCACACAAGTTTGGTCACTCGCCAAAAGCTTTTACAGCTTGAATGGGATACAATGCCTCACCCACCATATTCTCCAGACCTGGGAACCATTGGATTATTATTTGTTCCGGTCACTCCAAAAATTTTTAGACGGTAAAACCTTCATCTCAAATGAGGAGGTTAAAAACCACCTCGATCAGTTTTTTTGCCAGCAAAGACCAAAAATTTTATGAGCTCGGAATTATGCTACTACCAGAAAGATGGCAAAAGATGTTGGACCAGAACGACCAATATATAATTTAATAAAGTATTTGTTTATTATACGAAAACTGTCTTTCATTTAAAAAAAAACGATATTACTTTCCGAAAAACCCAATACTAAATTATATTGTATGATTATTATATGTAATAATAATTATTATTAAATCATACTACATGAATATTATATATAATTAGTATTAAATTATATTGTAAGATTATTGTCTATTGCATGTAATACTATTATTAGTACATGTTAATTTTTATTATTTATTATTTGATCTCGGTCATTCACAATGTCTTCCTATATTCTTCATTTGGAATACATTTCAATGTATTTCCAAACAATTCTTTAAAAATAATGCATCATTAAATTACCGCTAGGCACCCATCTTGGATTCCGTTCAAGATTTTTCTGAAGACCCAACAGGTTTTCAGTATTGCTACGAACATCAATCCCATAATAGTTTTACAATCGGTCAATGAAAGAGTCGTTGAGTTTGCCTTTACCAGACAGATTTTTATTTTTCGACTTTACTTTGCGCAATCTCGCATCAACTCTGTTTTGAATATTGTAGACGCATTCATGTTTTTTGATGCTATCTTTCCCACAAGTATCTTTGACACTGATAAAGCCCTTAGAACCCCCGTCATCTTAATAAGGGTCTCGTTTGACAAGAGAACGTTGAAAGATTCTATTAGCACCAATAGCTTCCATTTTTAATGCGGAACCTAGAAAATTGCTGTGGCACACGGGATCCTCTGCAAAAGTTTCCGACTCAATGTTTTTAAACATTTTAGAAATATTTCTGCAGGTTTAGAAAATGTGACGACATTATTTCAATGTCCACTACTATATCAGTGTCAACTGACAGAGCTTCAACACACCCATTCCTCTACGCTGCCACGTTCCATCAACTGAAACACCGCATTCAACAATTTTATTTTTAGAAGAATGTAGCACTAACAGTTCAGAAGCTGCTTTTTGCATTCACTAACTTCTGAAATCACAGACATCAGTTTATTCTTATGATGAGTGTTCGCAGTTTTACAGAGCCTGGGTAAATTTAACGTACCACATAATTTAAACCCAGCAGAAAAACCTTTCCTAATTTGTCTCATACCAAAAAACAAATCTTGCCTTTACTTCAGTACAGTTTAAAGTTTTTTTTGAACTAGAAAACTAATAGTAAAAGTCACAATTTTTACAACTTATAACAAAATTTGAGCACAAACTATATCTGGAATCCTCAGAAAGCAATAATCCTTCTTATATCTCGGTTCTGTTATCAGTAAGAGGTTTGCTTTCATCTTCTGCCATTTCTTCATGAAAAGCAACAGGCAATTTAATCTTTGAAGAACTGGTGTTGGTGGATGTTGAGCTAAGATTTTTCAAATTTTTATTGGTAGATCCATTACCGCGAAATGGATGTTTTCTCTTTGCATCAATTCTACGTTTAGCATTATCCATTTTAAATGAAAAAAATTTAAAGTTTTCAGCAATAAAAAAGAATTAAACACAGACTTATAAGTAGCTACGCAATCGTAATAAAATGTACACAAACAGTAACGCACTCTCTTTTTCTGTTAGATTCTGGACAAAAATGTAAGTAAAAACCTGTTATCAATTATATTTTTGAAGATTCTTAATACTCTCTCTCTCTCAAATTCATTGTTGGAATGATAGGGTACAAGCTGGGGTGCCGATTTCGTCACCTTCCATGTTGTGAATTAAACTTACATTCCAACCAAGTTTTATATTTGTGAAGAGTGGAATTATCGGTTGACAGCGGCATTGCACCAATACGTGGAGTTTTGAAGACGTGTTATTTAAAGAGGCTGTGTTGGTCAGGAACTAAGCTTTTCAACGTTACCGGGTGCTGTGGTTTTTTAACATATAATTTAAAATAATGATTCTTGGCTTCGTTATTACTAGGTGTGGTGCCGTTTGTGGAGATTTTCTCCCGAATGTTACGATTTTGTATATTTTCAGTCTAATAATTTATTTAGTAGATCAATTTGATTAAGATTATTTATTTATTGAAGTTCTGGCATCTTTTAATAAAACCTGGAAATTACCAACTGGGAAGAATTCTTGAATGATACCCACATAATACCACAGTGTCTATTATCATTTTACATCATTAATAGTTTAGAGTGTATAAATTTCCTACTATTGGATATTTAAACGATACTTGAAAAATAAGAATGTGAGCAGACATTTTCTTTCAACTTCCGGAATGCAGATTTGTACTTCCGGTTTAAAAAAGTGGCTATCGAGTAAAATTCAAACCTCCATAATTAATGATTTAAAAAAGAAAAAAAAATCAATCGCCATTTTAAAGCAAAATGTTCAAATTTTAAATTAACATTGAAATTCAACCATCGAAAATATTGACGAAAATGACGTTCTGAAGATGTAAGGACATCTTATGCAAAACGAAGGCATTTCCGCTCAAAGCGATACTGGAAAACTACATTAAACCTAGGAAGATACAAAATGAATAAAAAAATTTCTTTTTCATAAGTATATTTCAACACGTGCACACACAAATGCACTCATCTCGTCAAAAAAAAAAAAGATTAGAAGTAAGTCACCCACGGGTGGCCTTAAACCACCAACGTTTCGGTTAACAACCAAACACGCTAGCCGATTGCGCCACAGAGGCTTGGAAAATGAGCATAAAAAACCAAACAAGTTACTGAACAACATACTAAATCTAGAAAGCACCTTTCCTTTGACCTTTAAGCGAATTCAATAGAAATGGGGAGAGATGATTAAGCAAAATGAAACAATATCCGCTCAAAGATATACTCACACGAGTAAAAGAAACCAAACAATATACTGAATAACATACTAAATCTAGTAAGCACTTTTCCTTCGACCATTAAGAGAATTCAATGCAAATGAGGAAAAATGATTACGCAAGACAAAACCATTTCCACTCAAAGCGATGTCAGAAAACTCCATTTAACCTAAGAAGAAACGAAACGAATTTAAACATTTTTCATTCATAAGCATATTTTAACACGTGCAGAAATGTACTCTTCAAAAAAAGATGTGAGGTGATTATGTGTGTTCTTGCACCACTTTTTTGGTTAACAGCCGAATGCGCTAAGAGTTGTAGACCCTGGATCCCGAAATCCCTGGATTAAAGTAACTAATCCAAGATTTAATTTTCGTCTAATTTATAGTTAACATTTTTTTCTCATAAAAATTTTCTAAAAAATTAATTCATAGAAACTTTATATTTTTTTTATAAAATATGAGGGTAGAGAATTCTTTAGTACAGTTATAAGTCCTATAAGTAAGTAAGAGTATTTAGCTCTAACTTTTCGTGCGGAAGAACATCGCACAGATCTAAGTGAGCACTGCAATACTTCTACAGTAATATAAGCAAAATCTCAAGAATGTATTTCGTCACAGTTCCTCCTTCAGTAAAATGCCGCTAATTTCTAGCCGACCTGCTTGCAGTACTTGAGACACTACAAAATGAATTGCAGTACTAAGAGTTCATGCAACTGAATGTTCTATTTGAAATAAGGTATCACTTGAAATTGATTCACATTCTGATTCAATAACTGGATCAATTTATACACAAAAAACCCATTAAGAGTAGAAGAACTAGATAAAGTTATCAAAGATGTATATGTGCACCAATGAAGGATTATATTTATAACACTTTCATCAAAAATTCAAAAATAAATGTCTCATTTTTTTTAAAATGGAAGGAGAAGAGTTGACTACCTGAAAAGAATATACTTGTATTTAATGACGGTAACACTTACTAGTATAGAATCCAAAGAGCATTTATTTCATCAGGATAATTTGTAACAAGAATAAGGGGCTGTTTGAATGAAGAAACGCTGGACGAGCTGTGTTATTAAAACGGTTATCTACAGAAATAAATGAAAAAATAAAGAAATATTTTCTTAATTTCATTTTGTGCTACTTTTGTCTTTTATGATGAATTAAACTTTTCTTTTGTATCAATAAAATTAATATTAAACCAGTTTTTAGTTATTTTATTTTAGTTTTATTATGTAATTTCAACTATGCTAATGTGTAAGTATTTTAATAAATAGTTCAATCCTAATCCCGGGCCCCCGAGGTTTGGATAATGGAATTCCAAAATCCCGGGATTGAAAATATAACACGGTATGACAAACCGTATTATAGATATGTTGTTGTTACTTATGCCACCGACCGACAGTAATATCAGATCAAGTGCCGCGAAATTCATCGCGGCTGGATTTACGCCTGTAGTTTGCTTTATATTTGAGCAGCATGTTGGTGATAGTGCGATTTGGCTCGATTCCACCCCGATTCGGAGGGAAACACTCTGGAGGGTAGTCAGAGGCCTTCCATCTATCTTCCACTTCCACCAACCACACAAGAGGACTTGCGGTTCGACTGCCATTTTAGAGTACCTCAGTGCCAAACATCCATGCCTTCTCCAGGATTCGAGCCCAGGCTCAAAGGCATAGCTCCAGCGTCACTTAGCACTATACGGAATGGGTGGTTACTTATAAATATTTTTAACATAATGTAATCCCGGGACCCCGAGATTTGGATAATGGAATTCCAAAATCCCGGGATTGGAAATATAACACGGGATTGCAAAACCTGTTGGTTTGCAAGTACTATTGTTTAAAAATGCTCTTAAATGTTTTTAACCTAATTACTTACAGGCTTTTACATAAACACATCTTGCATACTTACTTCAAACATTTTTAATTACCTTCAATAACACTAACAAGTCAGTCTATACACAAGGCTGAGCTTCCATAAGACAAAAGATACTTAGTTATTCTAAAATGTTACTATTTATGTTGATTTTATTTATTATTTCTATCAAAACCCGACATTACTAACATGTTTCACGCTGAGCATAGTTGAAATTTGCAAGTTTTATATTCACGTAGAAAAATATATATTACAGATTTTTTAAAAAAAAAAAAGAAAGAAAAAAACATTCCTTTGTTATACATCACATGCAAATTAAAATTTTTATGTTTTATTTTTAAATTTTGGAATAAATCAGGATTGATCTTGATTTATTGTCACGAATTTATATCACATCGAATGTTTCTCTTCTCAGCCTCAGATATAATTTATTTCAGAAAATGAGTCCAATTCCTAATGGCTATTATTCCATCACCGAACAAAGTAAACCAGGATTCGAACGTTAAACCAGTTGTGTGAATAACTCGTTTGTTAACAGCTGAGCTATTGAGCGGTGCAAACGTTTCTTTTCCATTCAAGCTATAAAGTTTTTTGAAGTAAAACCGCTGTCAAATGTTTCTCAAGTTGAGATTGACATAGTTTTATTTTAAATTCTATGGATAAATCTAATATAGTGAGTTTATTTGTTAAAAAACAGATTTTTAAAAAGAAGAAAAATAATAAAAAACATTCCTTTGTTTTATATGACAGGCAAAATAAATTGAAAGTTTTTATCTATTTTTTTCTTAATTTAGGAATAAAATCAGATTTGATCTTGATCTATTGTAACGAAAATTATATCACATTAAATGTTCTTCTTTAGCCTCAGATATAATTTATTTCATCCACGAAGTCAAATTCCCAATGGCTATTATTTCATAACAGGCCAAAGTAAACTGGTATTTGAACTTAAAACAATTTGTGTCAAAAACTCGTTTGAATACAGCTGAGCTACAGAGCAGTGTAAATGTTTCTGTTTCAATTAAAACTGTTATTTTCATTGTTGTGTAGTCGCTATCAAATGTTTTATCAGTTGATTGCTATAATTTTATTTTAAATTCCAAGAGTAGTTCTAATGTTATGAGTTTTTTTTATCTTGATCGATTATAATAAAATTTATATCACAGCAAATGTTTCTCTTTAGTCTCAGATAAAATATATTTCATCCTCGGAGTCAAATTCATGTTGGCTGTTATTTCATTACAGGCCACAGTTAACCAGGATTTGAAATTTAAACCATTTGTGTCAATAACTCGTTTGTTAACAGCTGAGCTACAGAATTGTTCAAACGCTTCTGTTAAAATTCAAGCTATAAAATTTTTTAAATTTCTTCCAAACTATTAATCAGTTGATTGCCACAGCTTTATTCTAAATTCTATGGATAATTCTAATATAGTGAGTTTATTTGTAAGTTACAGTTTTTTTAAGATAGAAAAAAAGAAAAAAAAAACATTTCCTTTGTTATATAAGACAGGAAAACTTAAAGTTTTTATCTTATTTTTTTCTTAATTTAGGAATAAGCCAGGATTGATCTTGATCTATTATAATAAAAATAATATCACATCAAATGTTCCTCTTTAGCCTCAGATCTAAATTATTTCATCCCCGTAGTCAAATTCCTAATGTTTATTATATCATCACAAGCCAAATTAAACCAGGAATCGAAAGTTAAACCAGTTGTGTCAAAAACTCATTTGTTAACAGTTGAGCTATTGAGCGATGTAAAACTTTCTTTTCCATTCACGCTATATATATTTGATTTGAAGTCGCTGTCAAATGTTTCATCAGTTGATTGACATACTTTTATAATAAATTATATGGATAGTTCTAATATAGTGAGTTTATTTGTTAAGTTATACAATTTTTTTCAAGAATGAATTGTGTAATCATTTGTGGTAAATGACAGGCAAAAAATTTGAAGTTTTTAAATATATTTTTTTCGTTTTTGTAAAATTAGGAATAAAATCAGGATTGATATAGATCACTTGAAATAAAAATTATATCGCATCAAATGTTCCTCTTTAGCCTCAGATATAATTTATTTCATCCACTGAGTCAAATTCCTAATGTTTATTATTTCATCAAAGGCTAAAGCAAACGAGGATTCGAACTTTTAACCATTTGTGTCAATAAATCGTTTGTTAATAGCTGAGCTACTCAGTGTTTCAACCCTTTCTGTTTCTATCCAAGCTATAAACATTTTTGAATTGAAGTCGGTGTCAAATGTGTCGTCAGTTAATTGCCATAGTTTTATTCTAAATTATATGGATAATTTTAATATAAAGATATTATTTGTTAAGTTACAGTTTCTTTTAAGAAAAAAAAAGATTAAAAATTTTTTTTATTATATATAACAGGCAAAATGAAAATTTTTATCATTTTTTTGTAAAATTAGGAACAAAATCACGATTGATCTTGATCGAATGTAATAAAAATTGTACCACATGAAATGTTCCTAATTTCTCTCGGATATATAATTTATTTCATTCACGGAGTCAAATTCAAAATGGCAGTTTTTTAATCACAGGCCAAAATAAACCAGGATTCGAACTTTTAACCATTTCTGTAAATAATTCGTTTGTTTACAGCTGAATATACTACGCACTGCAACCGTTTCTTTTTTAATTCTGCTTTAAATTTCTTTGCAGTAAAGTCGCTGACAAATGTTTCTTTTGTTGATTGCCATAGATGTCATTATTTTATTTTAAACTCTATTGATAATTCTAATGAAGTGAGTTTATTTAATAAGTAACAACTTTTTTATTAAGAAAGAGAAAGAAAAACGCGCGCACGCGCGCGTTCCCTTGTTACATATGAAATTCAAAATATTTTTTAATTTTTTCTTTTGTAAAAATAGGAATAAACCATGAGTGTTTTTGTTGTTTCTAATGCCCCCTGTCTTACGTAGTCAGATCGAGGTCCACGAAATTCATCGTGGCAAGG